CATGTGTACATTAGGATGCCTCACCAAAAAGAGTTACGGGTTTTCCACCAGATTTATACAATTTATTAAATGAGTATTTATTTAAACATTTTTATGCAGACCTTTTCAGCTTAAACTCTTCTATAATCTGAGGTAGTTTTTTGAAAAATTATTTTCAACAATAATTTTATTAATAAAAACCCGATTTTTGTAGGTATTTTCAAATCGCTCCAGCTCACGTAAATCTTAATATTTTGCATAAATGTTTTGGCGAAATTCGTCAAATATAATAAATTTTATAACTCCGTTGGAAAACAAGTACCGATTTTTATTTTGTATGGAGAGTGGTGCAGCCTAATAATACTTTAATAGATAATTATAATCAACGAACGGGCGAAGGCTGGTCAAAGCATTTTGATGGTGCAAAATTGATGATCAACTGAAAGTGCTTGAATGGACCGGATTGCGGAATTCCCCAAGAAGAATAATAAGTTTTCAAAAAATACATTATATTTAGAATTAATTTTCTGCCATTAACAAAAACGATGCTCATCCAACTAATTCGCAATTTATGCTTTTCAGCGAAACTACCGATAAAAAGAGACAAAACCAAAAAAAAAAAACAAGACAATGGGGATGAAGGTAAATGCTGACGTTCCAAAAATTAAATCTACAAATATTTTTATATATGCGGTTTTGTACTTTAAACGACGATATGTATATGCCTTCTTCTTCGTTTCCTTTGCCATTCCCTCATTCATGGGCCGTCTTTTCTTTACAAGCGGTAACTTATCGCAGAATGTTTGACTTTCACTTCGAATTGAGTGGACTTTGAGACCTTAATTAATAAGTTTTAAGGCAGCTGTTTATCTCTTTTCACTGCATTACGCGGCACTTTTGCCTTATTTGTTTTGATAAAACCATTATCTTGCACCTAAATGGAATGTGGACTTAAGTCCAACAAATTTTGTGAAAAGTGATAAAATGCTTGCAAGTTTAATGGAAAAAATTTTATAATTAACCAAAGTTATTAATTAAGTTAAAGCACGCCAATCGTTTCTCGTCTGTGCCAAGTCACGCCAATTTGAAATACCGAGGGAAGCCAAGTCCTTCTCCACTTGATCTTTCCTCCCTCTTCCTATGCTACAACCAGTGGGATCCGAGCTGAATATTTTCAGAGCTGGAGCGTCTGGGCTGCACAATGCCCATTTCATTTGCTGCTGCCTTCGGTAAAAAACTGACTGCATCAAATTGATAACGATAGATTGAAATCGATTTAAAATGTTACTTGTTTGCTAATAGTGGCAGGTTTAATTGCTATGCAGTTTTTAAAAACATGAAGGGACCCGTTTCAATTAAATTCTGTAGAGCGTGTAAAATAATGACGGTCGCACCTAGTTTTTTGAATTACTATGTGGTTAGCTCTATTTCGATTAATTCATGATTCATTCATAAAAATATAAGCTATTTACAACATATTTTAAGCATTAATTTCAATCCTCGTGCTCTTGATTTGCAGGACTTGCTTTAGACATTTGAGAAAAGTTTCGCAGGAGGTCGAGTTCGTTTGATTTTTCGTCCCATCCCATATAGCCCCAAACTCTCTAATCCGATGGGTTTAACTCTAGAGAAGATTGAAGCCATTTTTCCGCTGAGATAAAACCTTTGGAAAAAATTTATTTTCACCAACTTTTCGAATTTCTCGCTACCCTATAAATATTCAGACTCATTTTAGAGTCAGAAAAGTCACTGAATTCGGAGTTGTGACCTTCATTATGAGCTCAAGAAAGAGTCAGAAAAGAACATATTTTCCTTCTTAGAAGGGCACGCCAATATGAGTCCAAGTTAGGAGCCATATTAGAGTCTGAAACACACACATGACGCTTTCTAAGTCTTAAAAACAAAAACCTATTCTTTATAATTCTGATTATTAATAAACCTTTACTTCTATGTGAACGTTTTACTTTTGCTCAACTTGGAATTTATGAAACCAAAATAGTCCGGAATGAGTAAATAAGTCTTAATAACTGCGCTTGGAATCATATTTATGACGAAAGAAAGACACATTTTAGACTCATAAATTCTATGCACACAGAAAATTGTTTAAAGGATAGTAGCACTTTGCTTATTTCCTTTCTCTTTTTAAATTGCAACTTGTCAATACCACGAATTATTTTTTCTTATAAGCCTTTGGCTAAAGGTTTGACCGGAATATTTACTCCACGGACTGTTAACCAGTTTAAGGCTCTTACACAGTTTTTTTTTTTTATTGGAAGAAAGCAAATGTTTCTGAATATATTTACACACAGCATTTTTCGTCCTTTTTGTTGTGACTTGTTAAAGCCTTCCACCACGTTTTTCCTTATTTTCAGTCTTGCTACAGTACGCTGAATCAGCATTTTGTCTATGCTATCTTTTCTTAAGAAATTAAGGCGATCACAAGTTTTCTTGACTTACAAAAAGTAGTTCTTAAATAAATTGCTTTTCACGTCCATGGACATGGACGAAGTAACCCAAAAAATTAAATTATGCGGATATATGTTCCTTAAGAAATAGTTAAGGTTGTTTAGGTGCGACAGATATTATTGTACACACTGTATAATGGATAGAGAGGTTTACCTTTTTTGCATATTTGTCTGGCTTACAGTGGATGGCCGTTTTTACGAAAGCCAAACCCATAAGCCGAGTCAGTCTGTGCAGACTCTAACCCACTATACACTTTACCCTCATGCGCCGTCCTCCTGCAGATACTCCCGCCAAAAATTGCGTTGTGAAGGAGCATTTGACCACGAAGCTATATCGAGTTGCCGAGGTGCAGTCCGCTAGTAGGCTTGTGTCTAGCTCCGTATGTTGCCAACTGCCAACTGTTGTAGGGCATAGCCGTTCGTGATATATCGATGCTACTATCCTTTTATATATTTATACTGCAGCGATAACAGACAAAAGTCACGTAATTTTCGTCTTCATCAACTTGGCATTCTGGACAGAGTTGATAGTCTTCATGACTGAAGCAGTGCAGGTACTTTCTCCAGCAGCCATGCTCTCTTAGGAGCTGGGTTAAATTGAAATTGAGCACTCCCTGCGTTCTATTCAACCATATTTTTTATATTTGGAACTAAGGCTTATGTCCATCTCGGAAGAAGTGCGGCGTTTTTCTGGTTTATTATTACTTGCGTATCTTCTTCCAGTTTTTCTTTCCTCAGCCAATATGGCAGTCGGGGTCAATGTTGCCGCATCATCAGATATCGAACGGTGAGTACAGATCACTCCAATGCTTAGAATATTTATAATGCATACCTTGTTCTTTCGCAGTTGAAAATACTATGGGCCGTATGCATAAAAACCAAGCAATATATATATTTTTTTAATTTCATACCTTTCACTTAAATTTGTTTGAAGAAATCAAGTAAAAGGTTTAAAGTTTTAAGAAAAAGCATTTGCTTAGTTAGGATTTATGCATACGTCCCAATTTGTTGTATCATCTTTCGCTGGGTCATACTCTTTTCATCTCAAACCCAACTTTGTAGAGATGCGGTCTCCAATACCATTTTTTTAATTTTATAAGCTTTTATTTAACTTTCTTTGCATGTATGTATGTAAGTGTGTTTGTTTGGGATATATTTTGCAATTAATTCTTAACCAACTTCCCGATTAACTAGAAACTTGAAATTTTAAACCTAATGACTTCTGCGCCGGGGTCAAGATATTTATAAAGCCTGTATTTTGTACATAGAAAGGAATAACTCCAAACAATTTTAGCCGGCAAGTGACCCTGGGGTCGATATATTTGGAAAACGTGCATCTATTGTCGGATTCATGGCGCAATAAACAGGTTAAATAATAAGACAGCTTTCTCGCTCAATGTTCTGTCATTCGGTTGTTTTATAAAAAATTCTAAATTAATATTTTCAAAAAAGATAACATCAAATCAATAAAAAATCTTTTTCCTACCACTTATTACTTCACCCGGTTTACTTCTATCATCGGTCGGATTTAGTTTATAATATATTATTTGGATTATATATTACTTGCGTGAAAATGAATAGCTCCACCAAAAATTTTGCCGTTAGGTGGCACAGAAAACCCCGTGTTTGTGGCCCGATTTGGTTCATATTTAGAAAGCTTGTTTTAAAAATATTTCTTAATTTAAAATTTTTATATATTTCAAAGAACCATTTAAAAAGAAGTTATACGGTGTTTATTGAGTTTTTGAAAAGAATTTTTAATATTTTCAACAATAGAAAAATTTTCTTTACTGCTTTTCAATGCTGACCTAACCTTTTTTTTGCTATTTTGAGCCAATTGGATAGGATTTTTACTCCGCCGCTACTTCCTTTTCCCAACCGATATTTTTATAATGCAAAATAGGGTAATTTGGCAACTGCTCTGAGGAATACAGGCTTTCCCTCAACAAGTTCATATGCCTCACATAAATTCGAATTTTGGAATAAAATCTACAGTCTGATGGAAAAGGTGTTTAGGTGATGGAATGCAAAAAAAATCGACACTAAGTAACTTACGAATTGGCGGCGTGAGGCACAAAAACTCACTTCCAAAGAAGCAGCATATATGTATGTATCATCCAGCATTAGGACAACTTTTGCCATTCAAAATATAAAGCCAAATGCATTTTATATGGTTTCCATTGAAAATTTTATATATTTTCGTTTATTTAAATATGTATTTGTTTGTTTTAAATTTAGTTTTACATTATGTCATATGTCGTTTACATTTCATAGTTTTACCTCAGCACTTTTGTTTGTTTTATATACATAAATTTTTCTTTGAAAAATACAAAACATATATTTATTTGTATATAATGTATTCAGCCACATATGTATGTGTGTGTATTTAATATATATTTATATTATAAATGTAGTTAAAGCATACATACAGGTATAAACCAAGCAAGGTAAAAATATTCATATTTAGGTAAATATGTAAAAACATTATAACAAAACCATTCGATTTGAATATTTGTTTGGCCCACACAAAAATTACAATTTATATTACATTTTTAGTTTTTTTAAGTTTTACAATTTTTATATGCATTTTAAATTTACTTCAACGTTGCTTGAGAAAGTGAACAAGCAAAAAATAAAAACGAAATAGCAAAAAAAGCAACAACAAAAAGTGGCTGTTTAAATACTTAATATATATATTTTTTTAATATCTTCGACTGCTTCTGTCTTTTAACTAGAATTTCACACAATTCTTATTTTTTAACTTTATTCATTTTTTTAGCTTGTTACTTGCAAAAGTGTTTTTGTTGCTTCGGCTCACATTTTTATTTTATATATGTATTGCTAATTTTTTTTTTGTTGTTTAACCGTGCTAACAACACAAACAAAATAGTTGATTGCGAACAAAGTCTAACGGCACTTTTGAGTGACTTTCGTTACGTTACATATTTTTATTGCTATTTTAAGTTTTCTTATTCTTCTTTACATGTTTGTTGCAAGGGAGTAGGAAATAAAATTTCGTTGCTCCTTAACTAATTTGTGCAAATTATAGCAAATGCGACCACGTTTTATTTTAACTACTTTTTTATTGTATTTTATTTTCTGACTTTTTTCAATTTGAATACTTTACTAACAGCTGGGCTCCCGTTTTCGTTTGGTTTTGCCTTTTATTATTTCAAAAAGGTTTTACGCTTTCTTTCCACCAGCTCCACAGCAACTTATATGTTTAAACATTTTTTATTTTACGAATTCAGGTGCATAAAAAATTTTGCTTTAAAAATTAAATGACTACATTTTTACTATAAAGAAAACGGGAGCCCGCCTGTATGTATAACTACTATTTTTTATTTGTTATTTTCATAAAAATGGTGGTATAGACAGATTCTGCTTGCACTTATTACAAGCTTCCTTTACTCATTCAGCTTTTTGAATTTTTACTATCACTCCCAAACCACTTCTGCAATTATTTTCGCACATTTTCTACCAACCTTCAATGCTTTTTTACATTCCCATTTATTTTTTAATATTTCTCAACCGCAGTTGCGCATTCAAAACATTATTGCATATTGCCTTTTCACTTGAGCTCAGGTTCGTGACTTAAGTCTTTCGTATGGCAGCTTGCTCTCATTAAACAAAATACGCTCACAAGCTTAGTTTGAATTGCTTTCTATGTACATCGGCAGACCGAATGTGCATTTCGTAAGTCGCGAAGCTCTTTCATTAGATGGTGATTTTATCGGTTGTTGTTGTTGTAGCGTAGTTGCTACTGAAGAGGTAAAAGGTATGAATTTTATGCTAAAAAGGACTACTAAAAAATGAAATTGCAGAATGTTTTCAATAGTTTTGCGCTCAGTTTGTGTTGCGGTTTAAAATTTTTCAGTTTTTGGTTTTTATCACTCGACTCTCTTTTTGAAAATACACTACGTACATACATATGTACATACATATTGGCACATTCTATCCCAATTCGGACACCCACACCGTTTTGCATAAATTTTCATGTTGTAGTGCCAATTGAAAGGCCTCCCTGATATTTTTGTAACTTTTTTGTCCAGCCGTTTTCAGATATCAATTTAAAAAAAAAAAAATCCTTTTTATAAATAGTCTGATTGGTATTATTTTTTTCGTTAAAATTTTTCATCTTTAAAATACTTTCGGAACATGAATTCGAACAAATTTCCAAAAAAAAAAAATTCTATAAAATTCATAAAAAATGTTCAAATTTTGATTTTCTTAAATTTTTTTAGCTTTCATCCATTTTGAAACGTTAAAGCTTAGTCCGATAACGAGATAAAAGTGGAATAAATTTTTCGACTTTTGAAAGCTATTAAAAACTATCAAATTTTGTCTCCAACTCAATAATAACAACTTTTTTTGCATTGATCAAAAAGCTAAAAACAATGCATTGCAGAGGGAGGAATGCTCAACATAATTCGCTGTAAACACTTTAACATAAAAAAATAAAAAAAAAAATTCAAGATGTAAAAGTCAAATGGTGTCCGAATTTAGCTGGAGTTCCCCATGTACTTGTATTTGGTAGGTACTGAAATTTTTCAATTTCGGAGAGGATTTTTTAACATTTATTTTTCCAGTCTGTTTTGCTGAGAAATGAAGTGAATCAAAATAGGCTGTCCGAGCGGTCAATATTTCTAAGAGAAATTCTGAAAAGTTTTGAGTTTTTTTTTGAGTTGAAGTGATTCACTCAGGTGACTATTTGTTATAAGATTGTTTTCTTTTTGATACAAAAAATATGTTTGGTTTACAAATAATCAAGCGCCTTTTCATATTTGCGTGAGAAAGGCAAAGTAGTTGCACAGTGAGTAAACTTTTATTTTACAATTTTCGCCTTGAGGATAGAATTTTGCAATCGTAAGGACCGTGGCTTCTAATGCATCGTTTGTTTGGCTTTCAATGCATTGTTTATTGGCATCGCATGCTTTTTAGTGGAGCCTTACTTATCACATGGTTTTTGAATATTCGATTGGTAGTCGATTTTCTACCGAACCAGCGGAGGCAGCCGCACGGAGATTAATCTGACTTAGATTCACACATTCGCGTAGAAATTTCTACGATTGCCATCCATATCCCAGAACTTTTTGCAGCTTCCTATACCCATTGCTCTTCGTCGATAAATAAAATAATGCTCACGACAGCGGTTTAATAATTTTGGCTTCCTAGTTGTGCTTTTAATTGCTTCATAGCTAACCAAGTGCATGTAATTAATATACATACATACATACATCTTATATTTGTGTGCGTCTTAGAGATAAACATAGAAATTTATATACGCAGAACCTTTTCATTTCGTTAATTTAACCATTTTTACGCGCACATTTCCGGCTTCATCGTAAAGCCTTTGATTGAATTGACCTCGCAACAAAAAAAAAACCGGTCAGACGTATGTGGGATGGTTAGGAACGCACAGCGCCTGAAGGTACACATCCATTGTATTAACAAGGAAAATATTTATTTTTGTTTTGTAGACAAAATTCAAAAGTTTTGCCGGCAATTATGTTTTAACTGCTATTTTTCGCACATTATTTTGCTTCAACTTTGCCTTTCTTTCGCGCTGCCTTCATTGCTTGATTGTTCATTTGCTCTACTTTGCAGTTATGGCTCTTGAAATATCTATAGTTTACATACATACATATATGACTTTACTTTTGCTTGCAACCATTTTTTTTGGACTCCCCGGGCATCATGCATAAAAATTAGGCTTAAGCTCCGACTCGATTTTCAATACAATTTCTTGAGTTTGCGCTCCTTAATCAGTGCAAAAACTATTTCATGCATGAAGCCCCTCGAATTACAATATTGATTTGCTTTTGAGTTTCCGTAGTATTTTTTGCATTTATTTTTCAAATATTCTTTCCTTTACACTAAATATTTATAGACTACCTACTTCGCTTATACCCTACACACACAAACTGTGAAAATATTTTGCATACAAACATTTTGACAGGAAAGCTTTACGTCATAAACTCACGCAAGGGCGCATACATAATCAGCCGCACAGCATTGACTTTAATTATCACATCACATTTGCCATTAAGAATTGCTGATATTTAGAAAAAATATTGTTTTTCGAAATTGTACATACATATATAACTACACGCAAACAATAGGCACCATTTCGTGCGTAACCTCCTGCGAGAAGTTATTAAAAAAGTATTTGAATCAAAATTGCTTTTGTTAATATCACACAAATATGTATGCTTATACATAGGTATTTGTTTTCAAAATCAGCAATCCTCTTTCAGCACGCTTTTGTGTGAGCGTTGACGCAAACGCTTTTAGCCTGTCATCCCAATGTCCTAACCCTAAAACCGTAAAAAGTTACAGAAAATTATTAAATTATTACATAAAACCCACTTATGCGATGAACCCCAACCCCCCCAAAAGACTGACTATTGACTATATCTCCCCCCCAGAACACACGGCACGCCATTCATTGCACTCGCCCACACAAATCCCTCGGACTTCTGTCGCTGCCAGCTTGCTTCAGTTCGTGCCCCGCTCCATCCCAGAGCAACTCGTAATGAGCGCGCACGCGCCCCCCTCCGCAGTTCATCCCTAAACGGGACCAATATCACTTTGGTATCTGACGGTCAAATAGTGTGCCGCCTCTGTCATTTGTTCCAAACATTGGTAGAGTCCATTCAAATGTCGCCGGCAACGTTTCGCCAATTCGGTAGCTTTATCGGCATTGGCGATTGAGTTGGCGACGGCTGCGGCACGGGAGTCTGTATCATCACTACCACTAACAGATGCAGTGCTGCTGGGCTTATGACCCTCTGACTCCATACCCGAATCGTTTTCATTGGAAATTTCACTTTCCGAATCGCTTAGATTGCATACCGATGTGGCGGAGACAATCGAGGCCACCGAGGCGGTGGAGGGGCAACGATTGTGACCTTTGGCGCTGCTGTTGGTGGTTGTGGTGATTGTGGTGGCGGTAGCGGCGTTGTTGGCTGTGTTGGGCGCTGTCGATGGACTGCTACTGCTCGTCACACTGACCGCATCCGATTTGTTGGAATCGCAACGCGTATAGAGTATATTGTCTCCATCGGTATGGCGTAGTTGCTCATCGCCTGTGCTGTCCGCATCATCTTCCGAATCATCCTTGCCCGTCCAGAGCAGATCAGTCTTGAGCGCATTCAGCATGCTGTAAAGGTTGAAGAGCTCCGACGAGTTAAGGAATTCGTGTACGTTCTTGGAGTGTTTAGCACTGCGTTTACCATGTGCGCCAGCATGTTCAAGCATATGCTGATTGGATGTGGAATTCTTGCCAGGTGCTGGTATAATATCTGTGCTATCACCGACCTGAAAGAGAGGGAAAGAGACACAGTGTTAGATGCAAGGTTTGGTTATTGAATTTTTCGTATATATGTATGTACATATGTATATGTACTATATGCTTAAACATAAGGCTTTATTGACAGTATGGTAATTTTCCTGGCAAATAGTCTTTGAAGAAACCCCTTTTAATATTGAATTTGATCCAGGCACAAAAATAAGCGATTTACTCGTCGCACCCGTTTAAGTTAAGGCCATGAATATGGTTTCCAATACCAAATTATTGCCGATAGTTTAGCTGTTGTGTTTTGCGTGATTTTTCACGTTTTTTAATTGTTGCTATTATTATTATTATTATCGTCGTCTAGTGTAATTCTTTTTTCAATTTCCCTGGCCGAGGCCCCCATATACACTGCTTGAGGCACATTTAGTCCAGAGCCATACGTCAACAGCTCATCTTCTATCTCCTTTAGGTATATGCCCCTATAGTTCTCCAACATTTGCGAACTAACCAAGGAGGAAGAGAGAATCTGAATTGCCGACTGTCTATCTAAGAAAATGTTTCCTCCAAGAAAACGCTTGCCTTTTTCGTTAATCTAAAGGCTAGCTCCACGTTAAGTTGCTCTGTAAAGATATCCTCTAAGAATTGGGTCCCAGGCTTTACTTTTAAGCAAATGAGGGTCTATGTACCCAGTACGAACTGTACCTGATCGGCCTTTATTTTCAATACCATAAAGCATGAATAAAAACTGATTTAGCTGGTAGTAGCTGAAAGTTTGATACAATAAAAAAGTTGAACGGTAATAAATCGTTCATAGCCTTTGTTGCTGGCCTCTGAATTTTGGAATAGACGTGTACATTTAGTGTACAATCGCTGTTGCTTTGGCTGCATATTTGGCTACCGAGGTCTTCTTTGCTCGCTTCTTAACCTTACGAATATAATTAAGTTTGGGTTCTGAAAAACTTTAAGATTTTACACCCAATATGAGAGATTCAGTCATAACTTTGAAATTAATAAAATTGCTTAATTTTTTTTTAAGGTCAAAAGGCCAGTTTTTTCCCACATTCACACAAACAGGTCAATTCTGCACGTTACCGAAGATTTTGTAACCGGAAACTTTTATTACGAAAAAATGTTATCAGTTCTTGTCAACGCGATTCTGGGTACGTTGGTAACGCAGTTAAAGCTATGAAGAATTGTGGAAATTCTGGCATTGCATATTTCACGGGGCAATACTTTGTTACCAGCTTATGTTACCGATTACAAGAGTACACAGAATGCAAAAAGGGTTTAAAAACTTACCGGAACTTTATTTACCGGTTACAAAATGTTTAGCGCAGAATAGACCTGTAAGCGAACAATCGGTGGCCATATTACTAATCGTACTCATTATCTCATTCGCACTCATTCGCGTATGTATAAATATTCGTAAATTTATCGAAGTAGTATTCGCATTTGTATTCATATTCGAATTTGTACTCGGCTTCATATTCATGTTCCAATTAAAATTTGTACTCGTATTTATATTCATATCCGTATCCATATTCATATTCATATTCATATTCAGTTCATATTCATATTTATACTCATATTCATATTCATATTCATATTCATATTCATATTCATATTCATATTCATATCCATATCCATATTCATATTCATATTTATACTCATATTTACTTTCATATTCATATTCATGTTCATATTTGTATTTATATTCATATCTACATTCATATTCATATTAATATGCCCATTCATATTTGTACTCGCATTCATATTCATATTCGAACTCGCATTTCTGTTCGAAATCGTATTCGTTCGTAGTTGCTTTGCAAAAAGGTTAAAGTTTAAATCCAATAGCAAAGTTGTATCCTTCTAATGCCAGAAATATTTCAAATAATAATTAAAAAAAATTTTATTTGCACCAACCTGTCGATCCATAAGCAAACATGGTACGAGTATGGTATCATCCATCACTTTCACAGATTTCACAAATCTCTCCATTACATTAACGATGCTGTCCTTCGAGAATTGTGGTTCATCATGACGCGCAATGCGACGTAGGCAGTTTCTGGAAATAAAAGAAAGGAAAGAACAATTAGAAAAAATTTAACTAAATACATACTTAAATTATTTGGCTTAGCTATTTTTGTTAGTAACCAAGAGACATAAATGGATGCTTTACTATTTATCTAAATTAAATATTACTACATAGGTACATATTTACATACATACATTTGTAGGTAGTATTTAGTACTCTTTACTATCTTTATAATTTCAGTCTGCTGGTTACACCCCAAATTGGGCCAAATGTTGGGCAATAGCACAAAATCGAACACAGATAATAAAGGATTTACTTATCAGCAAAAGCCTACTCAACAAATAAATAAATAATTTTAGTCGCATTAATTTTTTTGATGTTGTTTAATGAAGGTTGTGCGCTGTCGCCGGCGCGTCTGGTAATGTTACATAAAAAAGGTTTTTTTCTTTTCCGCATTCGCTTGCCGTTAAATGCTGCTTATGAGACGATTATATTAATTGGCGATTTCAGATATTGTTTTATTTTTGGTTTTTTGACATAAGGAAGGCAAATCCCTTTTAACTTTTTTATAAGCGCTAAACGAAAGCCGCTAGTTTTCAGCACTGTTATATAAAATGAATAAAACCCTGTTTGTGTGGCGCGCGTTTTTTTGAAAGTTTAAATGGGAATATTTTGTTTGTGCTTTTGGTAATATCTAGCCTTGTGCGTTTATCGTCTGCTCGGGCAGGTGTTGTTCAACCGACAAACCAGTTGTGATCTATGCAAATTCGACACTTAAATAAAACCATGAATAAAATATGCGATGACTAGCAAAAAAACCGAAGACAAATAATCATATCTAACAACGCGTTACAGATTTTTTTTTTTATGTCGAAACTAAAGACAAAACAACTCATGGGTAAAACCACCACAATTAGACTACGTCCATTGTAATATATTCTGATATTCCAACAGTTTCTGACGGCTGGTTTGCAACTTCTGGTGACCGAGGTTTGCACGGCAGCTATTAGCCTATTATCCCAGCCACTGTTTCTGAGCTTTAATGCCCGTATTGTTTATTCCACAAGTTTTTTGTGCTAGGAGGTCTATGAGTTGTGTGCCACTTATCAGTAAATTCGGACTCTCTTTAATTTTGGAGGGTATTCTCCCAGGTACGGCTGTTTTGTTATTTTTCAATTCTCGAGCGGGGGATTTAAGTTCATAAACATATTTTTGTTATGGAATTTAATTTCATGTGAACTCTAAGCCATTTATTCTCATTAACTTGGCAGCATTTACTGATAGTACCCCAACAACTATACATACATACAAATCGTCAACTTGTTAATTGTTGGCTCAGAAGAAACTAGCGCATAACATTGAAAAATTGTTGTTTTTATTGAAATATGAATGTAGTCAGTTGGCACCAACAACCACCAGTGTACTGGTAGAAACTAGCCCTGAGGCTAGCACGAAAGCAGTGGAACAGCCACCAGTTGCTGTTCTGCAAATCCCATTCGTTTTGTATACTAATTCAAATCTGATTTTTTTTTTATAATTTTAATTTAATTCAATTTAACATTTCTAAATTTGGACGACAGCTTTCAAATGTTTCGGTATTCATAGGCAACGCGCGCGATGGCAGGTAGACACAGAACGCGTGTCGTTTTATTTGAAATATGTTTTGCTCATCAATTCCGTATGTATAGTATAGCTTTTTTATGCATAAATATTTATTTAATGTACATTTATATCAAGTCGCTTCCTTTCATACGGAATTAGTTGAACTAGGTGTGTATGCATGGAAAAAAGTTCATCTATTTGTATACCATAAACGCGGTTCACATCGCATGCATTCACTCATATATACATACATACATACGTACATAAATATGTAGGAGTTAGTGATGAGCAAAATTACTACATAAATGCAAAGAACTAAGTACAAAAGTATTTAGGTATTTATGTTGTAATAAATAATCAAGTACTATGTTATTCAGTATCTTGGATGTTATTAGTTTCCTCTCCTAACCAGCCGTATAAAGAAGTGTAATGCATGTATGTATGTATGTGTACTAGGGTGAATCACTTTCATCAGAAGATGGAAAAGTTTAAGCTTAAAACGCAATAAAATGATTACAAATTTTATAAATGGATTTGGAATAATAAAATGTCCATATCGCTCCAGCTCAAGTAAGTCTTAATACTTTTCCGAAATATTTTAAGGGAAGTCTATAAATTGTATAATTCCAGTGGAAGAACCACACCTTTTTTTTGTGGGGGGGGGGGGGGGGGGGGGGGGGGGCACCCTAATATATATATATGTAAAAAAATACTAACAAGTATGTACATGTGTACATACAGTTAAACTCATTGTACATACATATTCATGTACACTCAAAAAATTGCATGTAAAACTACTACTACTGAAAAGTGTTTATTTTTCAACCAAAATCTATGTAAATATGCACACAAGGTGTCAAGATTTGATTTTGAACATCCCTGCAAACCAAAGTTCTCGAAATCTTAAGGAAATCGTTAGGAGTATCTCATTTCTGTAACGATTTTTTTACGAATTTTCAAAGAAAATTATATGAAGTGGTTGACACGAACTCGTAAAGAAATTTCTGTACGAAAAATAAAGAAAATTCTGTAAAAATTCTGAAAGACATTCTTCACATAGCACCATTATTTTCGCTGCTTCACAGATTTTCTTCCGAAATTTCGTAAAAGAATGGAAGTGTGCGTAATTTATTTCATTTTAGAAAATTCGGCAAAAAATCGAGTTAAATCTTAACGAATTCTTTAAAATATCTTTACAATGCAGAATACTCTGAAAAAATGGTTTGCAGGGATGATATGTTTAAAATATACACATAAATATATACATTAAATTTTTAAAATTGCAAAAATTCTTTAAAGTAAAAATACATCTTTTACTAATAATAACCATTAAGTGCTCATATTTACTCGATTTTAAACTTTTTGTGTGTAATTTTGCTCTACGCGACAAATTTGGCATGTAAAAGTAAACAGCCAAAGCCAGGGCAAATTTAGACAAACATTTTTTAGAGTGTACGTAAGTGTATACACATACATTCGTATATGTGGGTGGTAATCGACGCGCCCCTGAACAACGGCAACGGATGGCAAATGCTCACGCCGCATTTCGAACTACAGCAGCAAGTGCAAAAATATATACACACATACAATAAAATGCGCCTTAATATACATACATACAAATAATTATAGGTATGGATAGTATATATTCAAAAACCTAAGTTGTCATGAAGCTCGAGTCGCATCAAGTATTCATTTAGAATATTGATGAACCTGTGCAACTTGTAAAAGTTGCGCTTCAGCCAAGTTGACCGATTCAACTGACCGATTCACCTGAACGTTTTAGATAGTCACCTACAAACGTATTTGCTATTCTACAAACGTACCAAGCTGCATCGTCGACCACCACTTGTTGAGGGCCTAACTGAGGGCCAAAGTGCCGTATCAGCCAAATTTATGTCGAGGAAGGCGTTTCGAAGAATAACTGCTGTCGTTCACTTTAGTGACAGTGAAGAATTTGGTGTTTATGTTTTGGGGTTTTTTTAGATTACTTTTTGATATTTAAGTACATACATACATATGTTCATATTTACAAGTACATTAAGAGCCACGTGACGTCAATTGGAAGCCATAAATAAAGCCAAATACTGATATGAAAATTGCATCGCGCTCAACTGTCTGAAAAAAGTGCTAACCTAAGCTAATATTAAAATTTAAAGCTGCAGTCTGATTAAGTTTGGCTATTATTAATCTACACTTTTCATTTTCTTGCAGCTTGCTGATTTATGACCAACAAAAATTATTTATGTTTTATAAAATTTTATTTAAAAAAAACATAATTGTTATCGCCTTGCATTCCATTTGACGTTATTGCTAAAGAGTTGATATATTTATGACGACCAATAAATGGCTAATCGGCGGATATTCAATGTGAACGCACCTAATACTTGGTAGCCATTATAAAGCTACATAGGCTTGTCTTTTTGCTGATGTCAGAACCATTGACAGCTAGTCAAGTGCAATAATTTCGATTTATTATTTTATATTAGCCCATTAAGTAGTTAAGATTGTATTAGTTAGTTGTATAGCAAGTTGCCTTCGATGATCGTTAATTTGGTGGTGAGCCAGTACTGAGCTGACTGCGTGATATTTTTATGGTTTCCTTGAGCTCATTTAATTTGCAAATTCAAGAAAGAAAAAAAAAATCAACGCATAAACTTTAATTTGTTGCCGTGGTTTGCGATTAAATATTTTGCTATGTAGAAGTATTAGCTTTGAATGAACCTTTCAATAATTTAATATGCACGTAAAAAATAAAATAGAAATTTTATTGTCGTTTGCTCTAAGCTTAACCAGCATTTCACCTGCGCGACTTTTATCTCTTTAGAAAGTCTTATTCCAGTTATTGAATTTCAACGATAGTGATAAAGCACATATCGTCACCTGAAATGCAAAAAGTCATAACTAATAAAAAAATGCAAAATTCACTTTTTGATTTATATGATGGATTTCATCGAATAACAACTCCCCACATCAATTTAGGAGCGTTCCTTATCTCCCAGAAATAGTCAGAAAAAGTCCGAAGTAGTCAGATTTAGTCCAAAAAGCGTTCCTTAACTCGGAAATGACAGCAAAAATGAGAGAGCAACACTCAGTGAGAAGTCGTCAGTCCGAAGTCGTCAGATTTAGTCAGAAGAATTTTTCCTGGCAAAATCCTGAAAAGTGTCAAACTCAACTAAATTTAAATTAACGGAAATTAAAGAATACGCAAAAAGTGAGAATAATCTAAAAAGTAAAAAAAGTGAATTGAAATTGGAAGGAGGCAAAAAATAATTGATATAGTAAGTGTTTATTGTGCTTGTGCTTGTGTGAATGTGTTTTGTACATACATTTCCATTCTTATTTGACGTTAGTTTTGTTGTTGCCATTCTTCGGACTAAAAATGTGTTTTTTTGCGTTCCTTTACTTTTCCTGTTATTCTCTTTTAGTGA